ATATATATATTTATTTATCTTTTCACAAAATTAAAGTTTACTCCTTCAACAATTTTTTTGACTCATTATAGTCTGCCATCTTTTAATAAAATTCACTTTTGTTCCTTTATCAAGTTTTTTTTGGCCAATTTGAGTTTGTCCACCTTTATTCGTCATCATAACAACTGTTCAACTTCCATGAAAAATATCATTGTTAAACAATGTTGTAGTAACCATACAACTTACCTTGTAGACTAATAGTTTGACTTATAATCAAATGATAAAATGTTGCTAGTAATTAAAAGAAAATCAATTGATAATTATTTTCATACATCTATTTAATCCAACTTAACACTTCAACTTTCATGTAGAATGCAAACATGAAAATACATTGTTTCCACGGAACTTGATAAAATGTAAAAGAATGTTCAATTTGAAATAACCAGACTAATGACTTGAATCCATCAAAGGTATTGAGTTGCAATTTTGGAGAGCGAAGATTGGAATTTTGGGAAAATTGTCGAGGGGAAGGATAAGGTGAATAAGGAGTACAACACAAGGGGGATAGAAAAGGTAGTTGAATGAGTGATGTGCATATCGAAGGGTCATGGAAAAAGGGTTGGGAGGATAAGGTTGTGATGCCAACGGCGGTAGGGATGGTTGTCCACTATGATAAACCAAGGAATTAAAAAATGTGGATAGTAAGAATAAAAAAGTTGGAGTTGAGATGAATGAAAACAAAAATTGGGAATTGTGTTAAAGGTTTGGGATATTGGTTGGGTCATAAATGCTTATAATTGATCCAACATGCCCTCTATGATGGAGGTGATGGTTTCAAGACATTCATTTTGGGTCTTCTCTAGGGTCTTAGCTGATATAATATGGGGTTAAGTCGAGTCATATCGATTATAAGTGACCAAATGTAGGTCTATATGGGAGTAAAGTTGAATTATATGTGTATGAAGTGACCAAATTAAGTAAAGTATAAGGCTGAGGGCTAAAATCTCTAACTAAGTACTGGAAGGGACACAATATTTGGAGGGTAATCAATGGATTAATTTCATAATAGGCTCACACCTATGTTGTCTTATCCGTGACAATAATATTAGACTTTCCTAGTTTAAGTGAAAAAATCCAAGAAATCATATTGTGTTATGGGTTTTTATCTAAATTTGTTGTTGATGTAGCAAGCCCAAAAAGACCACATTGTTAAGTTGGTTTGGTAGGGTAAAGCCATTTAAATTACTCCCTTGTGTTGTAAGAGATCCCTTAGTTGAAATACGTGACAATACATATAATTGTTATGTTGTGCATATGTTATGGTGTTGATATGTTGTATTGTACATATGCTAAGTGTTTATGTCATGAAACTGTATTCCTGTGCTATAAATTGAAATGTTTCCAAGTTGTTAAGTTGTATTGTGTTGCAAATTGCTATCAAACTGAGTTGTTTATGTGTTGTGTTGTCTATAGGTTGAGTTGGCATGTTGTAAGTTGTTAAGTAGAAGAGTTGTCGTGGATGAGCTTTATGTTATTAAGGTTTAGCTAAAGCTATTTGTGGAGTTTTGTTGATGTAGTTATTTCGTATAGATAGTTTACTTACTTAATATGTTGTTACTTTCGAAGCCAAACTTACCATTGCATATATGTTTTCTTGTGGTTGGAATGTGACGATCTTACTTGTTATGGGAGCAAGACAAGATTAGGTTGAAGGAGGTCAACATGTTTAGAGTCATGTTAGAGGATAATGATGTTGCTTATACTACTCTTATGTAGCTAATTTTGTAGTGTTGTTTGACTGACAATCTAGGTTATGCTTTCATTTCTAATTATTATTATTATTATTATTATTATTATTATTATTATTATTATATATATATATATAAATGTACAATTATAGTAAAACCCTCTTGAAGGATTTTGATGAAATTTTTAAATACATAAATATATTTCATTACATATATATCCAATAACTATTTACATGTTAACCCAAAGTAATGACATTTTTGTTTTTCGTTGCTTAGTTGTTGAACCGTAAAGTGTATGAACTTGTTGGGTCATTATAACATACATTACTAAAACGTGTATGTTAAAGATTTTGTGTATTAAACACTCTAAAAATATTTTAAATTTATTCAAAGATGTTTTCAAAAATTTGTCCTTTATTATATTTTTTCAATTTTTTAAACAATAGAAAATGACTTTTTAACATAAAATCATTTGTTATTATAATTAAACATTAAAAATAATTTTATTTAATAATTTTAATAAAAATGTTACCGAATTTTAATTTTTTAAAATGTAAGATAAATTGGATGGTTTGTCTTTTTTCTATGCAATCATAAAGTTTTCATCCCTCGTGTATGATTTGTACGCATGGTACTATGTGTTTGAAATTTGTGATCTTCAAACTTTTTTATGCTAATTTTTATAATTTTTAAAAGAATTTTTTTTATTATAAATAACTCAAATATATGATTAAAATATTTTGTTAAATATTTTTAAGATTTTTTTAATAAATATACACAAATATCCATATATATTGAAAAACATGTGAATACCCACTCACAAAAATATTAAAATGAATACAAGATAAATATCTATCTAAGGGGGAGGGTAGTAGGGAGCTATATTCACTCTGCATCCCTAATTTTGAAAGATCTACTAATTATCTAATGTCTAAATTAGTGGTCTAAATTTAAGGATCGACAAATATCTACCAAATCGAAAGATTTAATACCAGGATTAATACCTTTAATGCATAAATTGAATTTCATAATATAATATTAATCATTCTGAAATTTTAAAATAAAAATTATAAAAATCATGAAATTCATAAATTTAGTATAAAGATGTACCTTTCATACTAGAAAAAGATAAATTACACATTTTAAAATCTTTAGACTTAAACAACAATTAATTCATGTTTTTTTAGTGAATTTTTCAAACCAGAATGACGTTTATGCAAAGTATCAAACAATACTCAAATCACCTTTTTTTTAATGCGAAGACTTCGGAGTAATTTCAAATCATACACGAGTTACGACACATGACATGTACACATGATAGATCCACTTTCGGCGCACAAGATTTTTAATTTCTTTAATATATGTATGGGAGTTGGTACGGTACCCTCAAAGATGGAAGGGTTTCAATACATTTTTTTTATATAAATTTATAAAAGATTTAAAAAAAAATTAATTTAATTATAAAATGAATAATTCAAATTATACTTATAAAATAAAAAGTAAGATAAAATTATAGAGATTAAAATTATAAGATTTCAATAATATTATAAAATATTAAAAAAAGAAAAAAATTAATAAATAGTAGAAATAAAAAATTATTAAAATTACAATATAGAAATTCAAAAATTTAAGACAAAAAGACAAAAAATATACTTAAAAAATTATTAAAATTAAAATATAGAAATTCAAAAATTTTAAGTGAAAAGATAAAAATATACTTAAAAAATTATTAAAATTAAACTATTTAAATATATAATAATATTATTACAAATAAATTAGAATATATAAAATAAAATTAAAATGACTAAATAATTTAAAAATTAAAAATAAAATATTATAAATATTATTTAAATAAATTATTAAAAATATAAAATATAAAAAACTGTACCGGTACCATCTCAAATAAGATGGGTACCATAGAATTTCTCTATATGTATATAGATATAAAATGTTTGCATAATTTAGTATTGTTTGTGGTAATTTTTGTTTGTTGGTCCTTTTTATTCGAACTAATAAAATTTTAATTTAGGCATGTATAACATGATAAACTCTTATAATTTCCATACACACAGCATTTAGAGTTAGTTATTTAGGGTACAAATATACTTGCTTAACATACCAGAATCTCCGGATGTTCATTAATATTTACCATACAACCAATTCCATGCATATGAACATTAACATGAATCGAATAAACAACATGTATATTAATTGTAGAAATCATATCCTTTATTCAATAATGACAGAATTACAATGCATAAGGATAATAATGAGTAATTAGCAATCAACACTAAACTACACTAGACCTAAACTACAAAGAAAAAAAAAAGGTGGTCAAGAAATCATACTCAACAGTCTCGTACACGAGAGCCATATGTGCAGGCAGAGAGTGTTTGTGAGCTTTCGTGAGTATACAATTTTTGACCTTTTTCCATGAACACGACTCATTAATTTATAGAGATTTGAGGGATTATAATAACTGTATTTAGCATGCCATGAATGTATAACCATTTTTAAACTTCCATATCGTGGGTCATTCATGCACGTCTTCTAATAACTTCCTGAACCGTTTATAACCCCCCAAACCGCCCTGTAGTCTCTTTACTTCGACTTGTTTTTAACCGTGTCTCCTCTAACTCCTTCATTTCGAGAGGTTGAGAAGTTGTAAAGCATTTTCATGAGTGGTAGAGTTTCAAGGATTTTGAGTGCTTCGCGAATGATGTATTCGAGTATCTCCTGATTCTTCTTGTACTTTAAGAGGTTGCGAAGCTGTGAAACATTTCATGAGTGACAGTTTCAAGGATTTCGAGTGATTCGTGAAAGATGTATTCAAGTGTCTCGCGATTCTTTTTATTCTTCGCATGTTTTTAGAGCTCTCTATTACTATTTTCCGATCTCCACGATTTCGAGTACTCTCAGGTTTCAATTACCCTCAAGTTTCGAGTATTCTCGAACTACCTTATTTTGTTCTAACAAGTATACAATTTAAAAAAAAAATGTTATAATATTGAATTATATTCATTAATTTATATTGTCCTCGTTAGGTAGATAAATATTATAATTTTAGTTTAATCATTAATTTTCAATTAATAACTATTTTCTTAACCAGTATTTCATAATCACTCGAAGGGTTAGATTGTCTCCCAAATTAAATCCTCAAACTACTATAGTTGATGTATGTTCCCGTAGCCTAGAGTCTCATTATAAACCAAACTAAATCAAGTTATATCCCGTGTGAACTCCACCATGTCGAATCAAAGCGTTGACCCCTATCAACACCTTGGATTCATCCGCAACCCCGACGGCACCTTCACGCGATTAAACAAAGCCGTTCCGCGCACCGAGGCCTCTTCGGATCCCTCTCTTCCCATTCCAGTTCTGACGAAAGACCTAACCATGAACCAAAGAAACAACACCTGGCTTCGCCTATTCCTGCCCCGAATAGCACTCTCCTCTTCCAACAAGCTTCCTCTCATTATTTTCTTTCACGGTAGCGGCTTCGTGGAGCTGAGTGCGGCTACGCCCATGTTCCATGATTTCTGCGTCCAAATGGCCAACGCCGCCGAGGCCGTCGTGGCCTCCATCGACTTCCGC